AAAAAGTATTATAAAGGTGAGGATGGATAAGGAACTGTGAATACTTACTACTTTTTATACCAGACTGGCATAAGAATCAAAGCAGATTAGACAGAAGATCTGCCAAGGGCACTGCAGGTTGGAATTTGGAAGAAAACTATGTAGAAAGGAAGTAATACCTACAGCCACACAAGCAGTGCTATGTTACTTTTCTGGGCAAATGTTTTCAAAGTAACAAAGTTAAGAGTAGCAATAGGTTTTAAAATAATATAGTGGCAAGCCATATTATTATAATATATTTTACAAAGTGAGAGAGTGATCTTCTAATTCCATCGTTTCATTTTTCCAGTGAGATGATAGTGGGTGAGATACAATCTACGGGATTATCATGTGCGCACACCACAGGAAATGTCTGCACCCTCCACACAGGTAAGTGGGCTCCGATATCGGAGCAGTTACTAAGAGAAGTTGCTGAGCACTCATTTGTTTGACAGCTTAAGTCTTTACCTGTGTCTTAATTCCAGAAAAGTCCCCAACAAGGTGCATATGGATAAAGGTAACATAGATCTACTAAAGTAAAGATTTTTCATATTAAAGATTTTATTATTTAGTCATAAGATTCTGTCACAGTAATGGAGCTGGAGTGGCCAAGGTAAAAAGGAGCCATTACAAAGACCCTGGGCAGCTGCGAAGTTGTTGGAATGCTGTCGCACTGCACGAACACTGAATTAGATTTCTTTTTTAAGGGTAAAAACTGAAATGGTCATGATACAGCTATTAATTTTAATTAATCTGGACTGCAGACTAATTTATGCAAGAAATAATTACATGGCATGGAAATATTTCATAATCCATCTTCTCCCCTCTCAGGAATCTAAGATGAAATTTTGAGTGAAAAGAACCAAATTTATTTTGTTCTTTGGAAGACTTCCTCATTTCTACAAGTATGATCTCTGAATTTTAATTCTATAGTATAGAATTTAATATATAATTACATACTGCCATTTCTTCTTCTCTAATTGCTTAGAATGCTAACCTTATCTCTTCTATTAAATGGCTAGGGCTGTGCAAAAAATTGGATTTTCTTTTGTACAGATGATCAATTAAGAGTTGGTGTACTGGTGGAATGGCTGTTCCAAATCAGGGTTTTAAGCGTTGTATCCTGTAGTCCCAAGCACATAGCAATGATGCTTGTTGTAGAAAAAAAATTTCTGATGCCTCTGGGAAGACAACAAACTCAACATTTCCAATTATCTGCTTAGACCATTCGCGTAAGAAACAGCCTCCAGAAAGGATTCTGAAAAATAAGCAGTTCGATTGACTCTGGGGCAAGCATGTCAGAGACCGTCTAGTTCACCTTCCCCTGCTTAGGAGAGGAACCTTTAAGCATCTTGCCTACTGCCCCACAGCTAAGAAACAGAATTGGAACCAAGGTCACCTGATTCTTGATTCAGTAGTTCTCTGGCTGGCAGGTGTAACTTCACTGCTAAGTTTCTAAGTTCCTGAGCTGCTTCTGCCAGGGGAAAGAAAGGCCATTCTGGTTGCGATCCTGCCCTAAGTCCCCAGAGCTACTTTAAAATGGCGAGGTCATCTGGGTTCCCTTTTGCACCAACACCACTTCCCAAATGGATAGTAAGTTTCTTGAGATGGGAATCAAATCTTAAATAGCTCTGATATCTTCATTAAGACCAATCACACAGAAGATTCTTGGTAAATGTCTGCTGAATCCAAATAAAAGGATACAGCACTGGGATATACTTTAACTGTGAGATCTGGCCACAGTTGAGACTTGCTCTTAAGTCACCAGGAGTTGTATCTTAAGTTAATAGACAACAGGTCAAGTGCTTTTGCTCCAAGCAGTGCTAGCTCTCTGTTGAAGCTCTAATCTTTAAGGTATGGGCCTCTCTCTGGCTGCTAATATGGAAAATAAGAGCTTCCATCCGCTTTCCTTTGAAGATGATGCCAGAATTAATTTCTGTTACATAGAGTTACAGTGGAACTACTTCTTGACACAGCAATACAAACATTTCATGGATGTTTCTGTGCAGATGCTTATACTTCTTATATAAGCATAAGGATGAGAACTCTAAGTCTATGACCTTACAAAACAAGACTTATAGGAAACAGGCAAAAAATTAGAAAAGAAGGAATAATTTAACAGGTAATATTAACTGTCTGAAGAAGCCTTCATATAGTTACTCACATAAGGGTCCAAAATAAGTATATTGGAAGATTAGAAAAATTGTAATATCTATATTTAATGTTATCTTCTCTAGGATACAAAGTAAAAAAAATAACATAAAACTGCCCTTCTTAATACTGGGGACTATACAAAGTCTGATGACCACTTAACCAGTAAACAGCAGGATTCTTTGTACACTTTCCCTGTATTTTCACCTAGAGATTATTAAGAGAATTTTGAAAAAGCTAGCTAAGAAACTAGCTAATTTTGAAAAAGCTAAGAAATTTCTCAAAACTGGTTTGAGAAATTATATTAGTTTAAAAAAATTCAAACAAATATAATGAATAAAACAAAACACCACACCAGCCTTTTAAATGGCTCATTATGTATAATGCTGTGCATTTTCTTTGAAAACAAAACGCAAAACCCACCAGAACTGATCAGAACTAACCTGTCCTGTTTCACTGGGAAGTAAAGCATATAATCAATTCCATTGATTTTGATCTTGCCGCTCCCATGTTCATAAACAACTGCTTTTGCTCGGGCACTCTTTCTTTTACCTTTAAAAACATGAAACGCCCATTATGTTTTTTTTCTCTAGAAGAGTAATATAGAACATTACATACATAAAAGCTCTACGACTGCTTTAAGTTAAACACAAATAAAACATGGAAAATGTACCATAATCAACGTAGTAAAGCTTACTGAAGTACACTTTTATGCTTGATTTCGATTTTAGAGATATTATGATTTTAAATGAATTTCAGCAGCAAGCAAAAAAAATTCCTATTTACATTTACTTTGAAAACTTTTACATGGTCTTCTTTTGTCAGTACAATTATAGTAATTAATACAGATACACCTATATGTGTAGTCTGGTAAGATATAATTGGGGAGAAATAAACATTGAGAATGAGTATGTAATAGTGTTGGATTTTTAGAGTTGCAGGTATAGCTCTTAATAAACCAATTCTGAAAAGTTACACCCTGCCGAATGTTTTTGTACAGGTGTCAGGAAATGGGAGTTAATGGTCTGAAAAGTTTTCACAAGTTCCACAGTTTTCCCATGCGACATATGCAGATTCACCGTGCACTTTCAATTTATTTAAGAACCCTTAAATAACCCTTAAAGAACTCATAAGCCTTTATCAATGCTATCAGTTGAAACCGTGGAACTAAAACAATGTAATATAAATATGCAAAAAAATTTTTTTAATGTTAGCATGTGTAGATAAGTATGTGTCTACATACTTGAACCAAATACCAAAAACTAGGCGATCCGAGGTTACTACAGCAAAAATAAGCAAACGAACCAACGGAAGAGAATGAATGCCAGAGAGCAACAGCAAATCAAAATAATTGTAGTTTCTCAAATTGGCCAAATTTGTTTTCCCTCCACGGAATGCCATTACCTTCGCCTGTGCTGAAGGCCAGTCCTTGCTGGTCATACTGCACAGGTTCAATCAGCTGTTGTTTTGACTGAATAGTTACACTCCTGCGAAACCGCTGCACAAATTCTTCTTCAGCAGCGTTGCACTGCAATGTCAATAACCTTTCCAGCATCCGAATGAACTGCGCATACTGCAGACAATAAAAATTCATTAGAAGATGCAAGTGTAATTGCATTTGCAAAGTTTTTTCTATTTTTATAGACTTGATATTTCCAATGTTGCTTTTCTTGATGAATTTTGACAGGATGACACTTCTGCATCTTCATGCTGCTTTTAAAACAGCATGTAGACGCATCGTTTCCCGGCGTAGTGTTAGGATTAAATCTTTTATTTCAGGAAACAAAGAAACTTATCATTCAAAGGGGTGTAAGGGGGATCAATTTCTCTGTATTATGATTATAGGAAATTGAGATTTAAATTCCTTATCAAAAAATATTTAGAGGATCTGAAAGTATAATTTCCAAACTCCTATTAGAACTATATCAAGGAGCTTTATAAATAATTTAAAGTAAGTTATGTACAGTGAGTTTGATTTTGAGAAAATGTGCCTCTTAAATTATATTTCATAATACATTTGGCAAATATATCTTTGGCTGTTCAAGCTGTGTTACTTTAAATGTTTATGATTTCCTTTAAAACTGAACAATCAAGCTATTTAAAAATTCAAGAGATACTTGACTTAAAGGGCAACCTCTTGAAATAAATTATCCTTGCTACTCTGTGCATTTTTTTTAATAGTTCTTGAACATGTGATTGGAAAGTAAACAACTTGGTATTAACCCCTTAAAATTAGAAGCCAGAATAATCATCCTAAAGTGTTTATGCAGGAGGAAACAACTAATACTTGAGATCTCTAGCTAAGATGAATTATGAAACCCAGTTTTTGATAACCTTATTTATGTGGGACTTTTTTTTTTTTTTTGCCAGTCCTGAAATACACATTCTTCTGTATTGCCCTTGTCTTTATAATGAAAAATCTGCATTAATTGGAAATATATCATGCTCGTCTAGCACTACTGACCACTCTGACCATGGATATAATAGAAGGCCTTGGATAGACTGGGAAAACAATGGAGAACAAAACTCAAATTCCTAAAAAGTGGTCAGTCTTCTTAGATGACAGAGATAAGAACAACCCCCAGGACTTACTACCCTACAGTGCACACTCTGAACATGGAGTTACAGCTATTTCTGCAAGCCCCCTTGCAGTCAATGAGTAAACTGGCTTATCACATATACAATGCTACCTGTCCTTGAACAATTAATTACATGAAACCAAATGGTCAACATTGACCCAAAGCAAAGATGTTAAGGCAAAGAAGGGAAGGGAAACTAGATCAATGGAAATAGAACAAGCAGAATGGAAATAATAAGAATGCTAACAGATTGTAAAAATTATAACCACTAGCACGGAACAATTTGTAAAAAATTGTCAAAGGGAACCCTGATTTGCTATCTGAACTTTCACTTAAAACATAATAAAGTATTATTTAAGCAAACAAACAAAAAGCCACCAGTCCCTGTCTCTGCCTTGGGTTTGGGATGGAGAAAAAAAACTGACAGATTAAAATTAGAAGAACTGCTTCAAATATAATTTCTTGTGATATTACAATAAAAGGCAAGGTACTTTTCTAGATGAGGATGAAATCCTTAGCCTCCTAAGGTACTGCCGTGACAGAGTGTTATTCTAAACACCACCCTCTCCCCGCACACCCCATAGCCCTGCCTCCTTTGTCTCTCAACCCCGTCTTCCACACCCTGACTCCCCTTCCAATCTAGGGAGGCAAGTATCAGCCTGGCTTGTGAACTCTCCTTGGGAAGTCACTGACCGCTCTTACATTCCACCTCAATCTTAGCCACAGTCATCAGCATTTCTTTTGACATGCAGTACCCTAAATGTAGTGAGAATTATCATCTATATAGAGAAAGATGGAATGCGGCTTCCAATGCAGAATAGATTTTCCAGTTAGGGTCAAGCGCACTAACTGACTTGGCAGCAAGGAGATCAGGAATGAACTGTGGGGATCAACTAGTACCCAAATGCCTGACACCTTGGTGAACCTTGAGTGCAACTGTTCCAAATGGCTCTACTGATGACCTGAACAGGGGGCCACAACCTTGTGGGCACAAGAGCCCTCTGGAAAACTTGGTAAAATATTCAGGTTCCTAGATTTCCTAGAGATCTTGAGTTGGGTCTGGAGAGAAACGAGGGGCATGGCATTTTGTGATCAACATTCCCAGGGATTCAGACACAGGTGGTTTTGCAGCTCCCCTGATGAAAGGCAATGACCTGACCGGTATGCACCCAGAGGTAAGCCAGGAAGCGGCAAATTGCAGGCTGGTAGCCCAGTTGCTTCATCCCTTTTCTACTTAACCTGTAACAGCGCCTTACATCTATCATTAGCTTATAAAATTAGCTATACAGTTTACTGAATGAGGTGAAACCAGACATCTGCCACACTCCCCTAAAACAACTGGCAAAGGACACAAGGGCACTTATAAAAAGAGTCGCTGGGGAATAGGCATGTCACTTTCATGACCACAGATAAGGCCCTCCCATGGCAGAAATCAATGAGAAATGTGTTTGTGTCCTTTTTTTAAAGGGAAAATTGTCTTAGGAACACCTGCCTCAGAGGAACATTATTATTAGGATCCTAAATACAGTAATTGTCTGCATTCTTATGGCACAGGTCCCCTTAAATTAAAAAGATTAATTACTCACATCTTGATCTGACAGTTTTTCCACTAACATTTCTTCTAGTTCCTCCTTAATCAGCCATCTGCTGCCAATCAGGTCTCTGTTAAAATATCACATATATTCTCTTTTTAATTAATCATGCAATTAGAGTTATATCACAAAAGATCCCACATATAGTAGCAACTCATGATTCAGACACATATAAAATATAAAGCCCCAGTCCACATAAATGCCTTTATGAAATGTATTATTTCATCTCTGCAACCTACTTTAGAAAATACACACAGAATATCAACTATTCTGTCTTAGGAGTTAAATATGCCATTGTGGAACTTACCTGATATAGAAAGTCTAGCCAGTTTCTTAAAGAATAAAACTGTGCCTGCTTTTCATGATGTATTTGAAAGACATGTTATGGAAGTATGGTTAATCTGCCAGCGACTGATCAAAACAGAAACCCCACTACCATCTAGGCAACGATGACTCATCGTGACTCTGTGGGGCAGAGCAGAACTGCCCCAGAGGGCTGGAAAGGCTGTAGATCCTTGTGGGAGTGGACTGCCACAGCTTCCTCCTTCGGAGCAGTGGAGAGGTTTGACGTGCTGATCTTTCAGTTAGCCGCTGGGCACCTTAGCCACTGTGCACGGAGGGCTCTGCAGTGAACTGGCTCCAAGGCAGCACGTGCACTGCCAGACTCTTAGAGGCCCTCCAGGACAGAGCGGAGCTGCCCTGTTGGGCTCCAGAATGGAAAATCTGTATGGAAGCAGAAAGCTGCATCTTTCTCTTAGGGAACAACTGGTAGGTTTGAACTGCTGGCTAACTCGAAAGCAGCCCAACTGGTAACCCACCTATGCCCCCTTTTCGTGAGCTCAAGTTGTAAGAAACTTCAGACATAGGGTAGTATTTACGATGTCAACAAGGCATTCTGAATAACAGGAAGAAAAATGTGAATAACAAGATCAGAATTGAAAACGTATTGCTTATGCAGATGGCTCTGGATTCACCACTGTTTGCCAACTGGAACCCACATGGGGAAAAAAAAAGAAAATATTAAAGCTTGCAAATGCACAGCTAATGTGCAGTGTGTGTGTATATGTGTGTGTCTGTATAGATATATAAATTCTGCAGTAACCACATTCGAATAAGAGTAACTAAATACCACTTAATACATAAATCTAGAATGACGTAACAAAAAACAACTACATTATTTACTTTTTCAAAATAAAAATCGCCTATTATTTTGAACCCTAACATTCTAATGACTGATGGTTAAATATTGTGTCATATTTTTAGTTCAAACTTTGCACACATTTTAATGCCAAAAAAGGGTAACTTTTGATAAGTGGGCACCACCCGCTATCAAAAGTTCCCCCTTTTGGGGGGCATTAAAATATGTGCAAAGTCTGGGGTCTTAAAGGCTTGAAGTTAAACAAACAGCCATCTAGCAGAGAAGCAACAAGCCCATACGGAAGAAGCACAACAGCCCGTGTGATCATAAGGTGTCGACAGGATCAGGTAACAAGCATCAGAAGACCCAAAACAAACAAACAAACAAAACAAAAAAAAACCATATTGTAGAGAACGAAGGGGGACAGAGCAGAGCCCCCAAATCCATCGGTAGACAATGGAACATCCCCTCACAGAAGGGCCACAAGGAAGGATGAGTCAACCAGGGCCCAGTATAGCACTGATGAAACACACAATATTCCTCTGGTTCCTTGAGGCTTCCTCCCCACCCCCCCACCCCCACTATCATGACCCCAGTCCTGCCTTTCACTTAGGCTGAGACCAGAGCATGCACACTGGTACAAATAAGAGATAAGAGCTCAGGATACATGGAGTCCAGGAACAGGAATTGGAGTAGCTATACCAGGAGGGGAGGAGGAAGGTAGGAGGAGGAGGGGAGGAAAGGGGAACCAATCGCAATGATTTTCACACACACACACACACACACACACACACCACACACACACACACACCACCCCTGAGGGGGGGCAGACAATAGAAACCATGGGGGAAGAGATACAGTGGTCGTGTAAAATATGAAAATAATAATGCATAATTTATCAAGGGGTCATGAGGGTGGGAGGAGGGAGGGAAAAAAGAGGACCTGATACCAAGGGCTCAAATAGAAAGTAAATGTTTAGAAGATGATGGCAACATATGTACAAATATGCTTGATACTACTGATGTACGGATTGTTATAAGAGCTGTAGGAGCCCCAATAGAATGATCTTTTAATTACAAAAAAATAAAGGGAACTTACTTAGTCTTCGCTTTTTCCAGGACTAGACCTTGGGCTTGCAGCTGGGTTTGGGTTTGACGGTCTTCTAGTTCTAGTAGCTTGCCGTACGCTTCCTAGAGCAAATAAAACATGCACACTGCTGTGAGGCGGGGCATCATTACTGAGACTTGGAGACTCGGAAACAGACATGGAATTTTCGTGATTCGATTTACCTCAACTTTTCAACGACCCTCGGGAAGCCCCCTTATGTCCCCTTCTCAAGTGACCTTCTGAAATCATCTAGTTGCAGAGTAAAAACACCTGAAGAATGCTTTTAATATTACTAGAGGTTTCTCCCACTATCCAAAAATAGAGCAGTCGAAAACGTGCCTAGGCTGAAATGGTATAAAGCTAAGAAGCAATCGCCATGAATTTATATGGAAAAAATGTTTGCAATTTCCCAGTTCACAGAAATCATCTACCAAATCACAGCATATCACACATACAGCCTCAATCGTCACTCCCCCACAGCGCTCACAGGCACAGCATGAAGCTCAGGTGGACAACCGGATGCTGAGGGCCGTTCTCAGGGAAAGGGCTGGCCCACCCCACACTGGCTGGCCCCTCTCACTGCTCAGGGTGCCAGCTCACTGGCAGACAAAGGCTGAGTGCTAGTTCTGACTTGAACTTTTTTGGCTAAAAGTGAAAATCTTCTTTGGAAATATTTTCTTCAGTGAAAGCAGGCACTAATGTACAGTTTTAGAAAAAGTGCAGGGTGATTACTGTATTTCTCATTTAAAGAGGGCAGAATGATGTCAAAGAGAACTTACTATCCTACGCAGCAGCACACATAGCTTCAACTGATTTTTAACTACCTACAAAACTAACATGTTCACCTTATGGTTTCACATTTTTTCTTAAAAATCAACAATACGTATGCTGAACCTAGAAAATTAGCCAGTAAAGGTTATGGTATTGATAGCTCATTTACTTAATATTTAATGCTTATATAATAGTAAGTCCTCACTTTCTTTCTATTAATTTACTTTCTAACAAATTCTCTGAATATAAAGTTGCAATGCAAATAGGGGAAATCTTCTCATTTGTTAGAATTTGTAAACAGCGATAATCTAGCAATAGCGATTAGAATTTACATTACATTTCCCGGAAAATGAGCAGAATATAATGATTTCCCACCTTTTATGCCTGAGCAACCTTCTATTTTTGAGTACTCACCCCTAATACAATCACAATCTGAACTTATGTATATATACAACACTCCCTGGATCCAAATTTTAAAAGGATAAGCTAATAATGATTTAAAAAATACTATTGTTTCCCCTCATGATGGCTTCTAATATCTTAAGACATAACATGCTACTGATGGGAGATGTGAATCCAAATCTCAAACAGTTAAAACAATTTTCAAGTTTGGAGGCAAGTTCCTGTTGGGTCTGGCTATGCTGCCAGATCGTAATACTGATGCTAAGAGACTGTCTCAGCATAGAAGTGCCCCTCGGCCATTATCTTTGCACTCACCACTCTGCAACTTCTGAACTTCAGGAGTCCATTTTCTCACAGGGAGAAAAAGAACTTACGCTGTGCGGACTTTTGAGTTTCAGCAACACAACCAAATACAAGGGAGAAAAGCTGAGCTCAAACTCAAGAACTTAGAATGTCTCATGAAAGAATGATGTAGAAGTTCATTTCTTTTGGCTGATGAGACATGAGAGTCATCAAAGAACCTTCTTTGTTTGTTTTGGTTTATTTTTTATTTTTTGCACTAAATGTGGTAGAATGGATGCCTCCAGGAGAGAAAGAAAAGCAGCAGAGGAAAAAAAGAAGAATGGCATGTACTGAGCAGTAAACACTGCGAAACTGAGGGTGAACTACAGGGACTCTTAGCAGTGGTCACAAGCATCTGCAGTCCAAAGTGAATTGCTCCCTCTAGTGCAGTAATTGTCTAAGTGGAGTCCCCACGCAGCAGCACCGGCATACAAGCCTACAACTTCTTAAAAATATATATTTTAGATCCCACTCCAAATTTTCTGAAAAGGAACCCAGTGGGGGAGGGCTCAGCAGTCTATTCCATCCACGACTCTAAGTGATACAGACAGAAGGTTGGGAACTACTGAGAGTAAGTGCAGCACCCCAGCAAAGGGGAGTTTAACAACTACTGTGTTTGAAACCATGTGTCAAAGCGCAAAACCACTAGCTATTAACTAACAGTAGAGGAATGCATCTTACAAGTAAAAAAAAAAAAATCAAGCCCAAATTATCCATCTTAAAGAAAGCAAGAATGAATATGAACCAGCCATCACACAAAACCTACGTTGGCTATTTAAAATAAAAGTTCACAATTTGTCTCCTAAGTAATTCCAAGTCTGGTATGTTTATGTTAAGAGTACCTAAATAATTTAAAAAGACGAAGTTAGCGACAACAGTCTTGCAGAAAGTAGATTCTACAGCTTTAATTCCCTGAAGAGAAGTATATGAGTTTACATTAAAAAATCCTTCAGGGCTTTTGCCAGAAACTGTCAACATCACGTACTATCACTGGTAGTCTTTCCTAGATAAGTTTCCACTTAATTTTTAAGGGACACTAGAGAATCAGTATGACCCCACCTATACTAAGTTTATATACTGTATTTAATAGTGTAAATTTTGAATATGACAGGAATAACCCAGATGTGAAATGCTGAATCATTAATCACAGCTATGATTAATATTTCATAAAATCAAAGCAAGCCTTTCCACCCCTCGTGTCATCAGATTTCCATAATGTATGAGTCAAATTTAGAAGGTGCCTAATTTGAAAATACCAGATGCTCAGGGTGCAGAAAAGAAATGCTTAAACGAAATGTTTCCAATAGCACAGCAATAAGATTTTTAGTATCCTTCTAAAATCTGTTTTGGTCATATTAATCATAGGGAAATTCCAATTTTAGGAAGGGTAAACAAATAACATTTCATGGTTGGGAATATAGAAAAAGTCAACTACACTTTTATTACAAAATAAACAATAACACACTATTAGCAATTATCATCTTGGATACTAGAGTTAAGGAACCGAAAAGTAACTGGCTTTAAAAACCCTATTTGTTAATAGGATCACAGAAAATTCATTTCATTCCAGAGAAATTCAGTGATAAATAACAGTCTTCTCTATTTTTGGCCTCTGAGATACATAAAATCGAATGAAATAAATATAATTCATTCATCATTGACTTAAGGACAGCTTTCGGCTCTATACTTCATGTTCCACATGACATGATTCTACTGTAGACTCCTGCTATTTGTGAGGACCATATGCTATCAAGTTTATATGTCATTAAAAAAGACTACTTACAAATATAGTCTTAAATATCAGACATATGAAAGAGTATTTTTTAGGAATTACATAAAAATTCTTCTAACTCAAGTACCATTTTTACTACTCAAATGAAAGCCCTATCATATGGTAAAATACCAATTATACCATTACAAAAGAAGTAATCTGATTAAAATCAAAACAGAGGCAACAATAGGTTAAATCAATTTCTCAAAAATTAATTTTCCTAATTGTTACACTTAGAGCATATAAGAAGATATACAATAGTAATTAGTCCTATGTGAGGAAAATGTATATTAAAAAATACTTCTAGAATAGCACTTTCTACTGCTGAATTAATTACTGAATTAACTCCTGCTGTCAAGAAAAGTCTTTAAACAGCATGCAGAAATATTTCAGCACCAGTCTGGAGCTTTTTAAAAATCATCACGTTACACAGTTGTAGTTATTTCACAATACCTCACTGTGAGAAGGGTCACTATTTTAATTCCATTTTGGGAGATAAGAGCACTACAAGTAAGAGTTTTAAATATTCACAAGGTCAAAAAGAGGATTTTAAAACATCTAAAGTAAGTAGGATTTCTTTAATACTCAGTCCCCAGGACTTTTCCTTCTTGAGTCTGGAATCTTCACATAATGAAGCAACACACTTCTCCTGGGTGTGTTGTTCCATCCACTAGGAACGGGGAAGGTTACTTAAGTCATTCAAAACAAGCTGGAGCATCTCTAAAAGTAAGTCATGAGCTTCTTTCAAAGAGCAAACTAACCCTGTTTATGCATAATTACAGGGATTAGAAGTACTTGGTTTTCTTTCATATTTTAAACTTTTTTTTTCAACTCAGCAAACAGCTTAAATATATAATTTTCCTTATTTATTTTACACATTTTTGACTGTTAGAAATTTCATCTGTGGCTATATGTCCTTTCATTTAAAGAAATACTTTAAAATATTCCATTATTTACTTAAAAAAATCATTTTATTGGGGGCTCGTGCAACTCATCACAATCCATACATCCATCCATTGTATCAAGCACATTTGGATATTTGTTGCCATCATCATGCGCAAAACATTTGCTTTCTACTTGAGCCCTTGGTATCGGGTCCTCATTTTTTCCCCTCCTCCCTCACAAAGCCTTGATAATTTATAAATTATTATTATTGCTATGTATTACACTGTCCAACGTCTCCCTTCACCCACTTTTCTGTTGTTGTCCGTCCCCCAGGGAGGGGGTTATATGTAGATCCTTGTAGTGATCAGTTCCCTCTTTCTACCCCACCTTCCCTCCACCCTCCCAGTATCGCCACTCTCACCACTGGTCCTGAGAGGTTAATCTGTCTTGGACTCCCTGTTTCCAGTTCCTATCTGTACCAGTGTACATCCTCTGGTGTAGCCCAATTTGTAAGGTAGAATTGGGATCATGATAGTGGGGGGGAGGAAGCATTAAAGAACTAGAGGAAAGTTGTATGTTTCATCAGTGCTATACTGAACCCTGACTGGCTTGTCTCTTCCCTGTGACCCTTCTGTAAGGGGATGTCCAGTTGCCTACAGATGAGCTTTGAGTTCCCACTCTGCACTCTCCGTCATTCACAAAATGATTTTATGTTCTTTGATGCCTGATACCTGATCGCACATTTACTCTTAAAACTAGCTCCCAAATGCTTCTATTGACTGCCATGAGTCAATTCTGATTCATAGTGCCCCTAAAAGACAAGGTGGAATTGTCCCTGTGGGGTTACTAGGCAATCAATCTTTATGGGAGTGGAAAGCCTCCTCTTTCTCTCAAGGAGCAGCTTGTGGCTCC